ATCCAGTCCTGCACCTGGATCTTCTAGCAGACCACCACGACCATCCAGTCCTGCACCTGGATCTTCTAGCAGACCACCACGACCACCTCGTCCATCTAGACCTGCATCTGAACCATCCAATAGGCCACCACGTCCTACTAGACCAAGTAGACCACCAGGAGACTCTTCAGGAAGGCCTACGAGACCAACTCGTCCGCCAAGACCAAGTCGTCCACCTGGTACAACGGTACCAAATTTTGTCTAATAGGGGCACTTTGTCCAGCAAGGCCGCCTCGTTCAATTTGGCCATATCCTGCTTCTCGTCCCTATCCTTCTGAAGATACGTTAGATGACGAAGTTACAATAACCTGTCTTATGGTTAATATGAATTGTTAATGTCAATTAAAATTTTCAATGTATTTAGTTCACATTATGTGTTTGAAATTTATTCGATATAAATGAATTATAATAAATATTTTTGAATTTAACCCTTTGTATTTTCTTGTTCATTTCTTATACATTTTAGGTTCGATGCAAATTGCCGCAGCAGCAGTTTTTTCTGCATAAAATATATGTATAGAGACATATATTTTACTTTTTGTGAAATAAAAGAATTTTGTGTCTTTATTCTTCCAAAACACTGCCACTGCGGTGATTTGTTGCAAACTGTGCATCTCCACCGACGAGGCACATATTTTATTTTTTGTTAAGCACTCTAATGATATGTAATAATTTGTGAAATTATTGATTGATTCTTTACAAATTACTGTATGAAATTCAAGACGTTAAGACTTAAGATTACGTACTGTAAACTTAACTATAAAAAGTTGTATAGTTTTATAACATACGTACATCATTTTAGGTGCAAATGTCTAAAATTATAACATCTAGAAAAATGCAACATTCGGTAATAAATATTGAAGTAATATTAAAATTTTTTAAATATATTTTATTTAAAGATGCATCATTTTTTGAATTGTTGTGCGTAATATTTCAAGATATTTATGACTGATTTATCGATACAATGCAAATTTCAACACGTTTTCTTTAGCGACAAGATTATTACAACTCGTAATATAATTAAAATTATTACTTTTTCTATTTATTCTAACTTACGTAAGTTAAAAGACCTAAAAGACTCGAGAACCGCTTCAAACAGTTGGTACATTTCTAATTAATCTTATTTCGAAAGAACAGTATAAAAAGTATTTTTCTAAATTTAATTTTGTATATAGAATAAAGTCACAGAAGAAAATTTTACTTGTAATTAGATGAAACACATATATAAAATAGATTTCAATAGATTTTAAATTTTATGTTACAGATTTTGTAATAAGAAACTAAAAATTATATTGAATTACAGAACATTTGTATTTAGTAAGTATTATTGAAATACAATATAAATTTATTAAAGTAATTTGAAGTAACGTAAGGTATTATATATATAAGAAAATCTTTAATCGATAAAACGAAACTTTGATCTTGAATTACAGATCTCTGTTGAGAATTAACTTCAATTTTATAAAATCTTTGCATAAAAAGTTAACGAAAAGTAATCTTTAATATATTAAATTTTATAGAATTAGGATTTAAATATCTTCTAAACTAATAGTTCTTCGGCATATATAGTTAATAGTTCTTTTTATAGAGATTGTCAAATCTCTCCCTCGACTAATGGATCCAAAAATATATCATTCCATTTAAAAAGCTGAAGGTGATCTTCATATCTCGATATGATGTGATCCTGAAAGCAAAATAACAACAAAACGATTACAATATTGTATGTTTGCGTGGAAACCATGCAATTTTTAGTTAATCACAACAGCGAATAACTTACGACTATTTCAACTCGTTCTATTAGGAGAGTCACCTTGTATTATTAACTTCTTTTTTTTTTTTATATTACATATTAGTTTCATTGTTATGTCGTGAATTACGTAAAATGTGAATGTTATATTCTTCATTCATTGGTATTATAAATATAGTCACTTAAATATAATATAATGGTATTATAAATATAGTCGAATATAATGTCATGATATTATAAATATAGTCAAATATAATGGTATTATAAATATAGTCACTTCCAGATTAATTGAAACTTTAACATCATTTCCCAAGAGAACAGGTCATTTGCGACCTATGGTACCTTATCGACTTTTGTTTTTTATAACAACTAGAGCACGATACAATAATAATAATAAAAAAGAAATTGAGTTTCTAAATAAATCCTTAGTTTTTAATAGGATCGCGTAGGATAGCCATGTCATATTTTCCTAATTTCCTACACTTATAAAAACTTTCCTACATTTTGTATATAAAATTCAGCACTGAATAAATTAAGTAAAAATATCTAGGTACATATATACAATTTATGATATAATAATTATTTTTATGTATTTAAACATATATTTTCTATAAATTATTTACGCATTATATTTCTGTATATAGTATTTATTTTATTGTATGAAAAAGTATATTACTACATTTACGAAATCAATTCTCTTTAATGATGGTTTTGTGTTGTTGTATGTACCTAATTTTTTAAATCACTACGTTTCAATTAAACCACCTGTAACGAACTCTGAGTTGAAAAATTGATAAAAGTAAATCCATTTATACAAAACGGAACGTTCTTTATTTTTCAGTAATAAAAGATAAGCATATCGAAGAACTAAATGTATCGTTTGTATTTTTAACTTTTATCACACAAGCAACATCAAAGTAAATATATTTAGTACAAAGGAAAGTACTTACCTTTATTTGTAAATGTGATTCGACTTTTATCCCCTTATATGCATTAAATTATTAATAATTTCTTATGCAATATCACTTTTTTTCCATATTTTTCATAAATTTTGTATCTTTTAGCATTTTTATCTTAAAAGCTTTTTTATTGTATTCAAATATTTCATTTTTTTTGAATTTGTGGTTGCGGTTTCTTAAAAGAAGTTAATTTTTGATTGTTTTTTAAAAAGTTTATATTGATTTTTTATTTGATACTTTTAATATTTGTTATTTCAATTGTTGAAAATTATTTTTAATAAATTTCCTCATTTTGCTCTATTTACATTTCTATTTATATTCATATTTATATTTGAATTTGTATATATATTTATATTCAAGGAAAAAGTAACAGCAATCAACTATTAACACCCATTAGTATTAAAGAACTAAAAATAAAAGTTTGTTATATAAAATATTTTATAGTTTAATAGTAATTGGTGCATTAGTCTTACAATAGAATTATATATTAACTCTGTTAGAAGGAAACATTATCGCAAATTCTATTGACTATAATTACAATTGCTTGTACAAATTTAGTTTTTTTCATTACTAAACTTATCAAAACATGTTACGATTAATAAATTACTTGTTTGTTGATAGTTTATCAACAAAACAAGATATTTGTAACGAATATATAGAGAGGAAGACAGATCTGATCGTCAGAATAATAGTAATAGGGATAAAATACAACTGAGGAGAATTGGGCACCTTCCAAAGTGAAAATGAAAGGTAAGTTAGTTACAAATTTTGTTTAAATTTTAATAAAAATAATCGCAACGTATAGATTGATCAAGAGTAAATTTGAATTTGTTACCAAGCATTTCTCAAGAATTAATTAATTCTTAAAAAATCGAGTATTATATTAAATGTTTTTGAGCATCAATTTTATTAATATTTAACAGTTTCTATTGAACTGTTATTTTAAACATTTTTCTGACATTTAAGAATGAAACTTATGTAAAACAGAAGCTAAAGTATTAATTTTGAAAATTAACAAAATATATAATAAATTACTTTCAGTAGTTTAAATGAATTTTTCTGTTAATTATCTTATTAATATTAATAAACGAATAAATATCTTATTAATATTAATAAACGTATTGAGAGAAAACGAAACGTAGATTCTATCACTACGAGAAATATTAACCAACATTGTTTGATATCTCTTTCAGCAACATTCGTGGCAATATTAGCCACAGTTGCGTTTGCAATCGCTGCTCTACCGCAGTGTCCGCAGAAGAATGGACAAGATGTTACTTTGCTACCGAATCCAGATGACTGCTCAACTTTCTATTACTGCGACGAAGGCGTACCATATTTAACGAAATGTAGCAAAGGGCTTGAATATGATCCAAAACTGAGGATATGTGATTATCCGAAAGAGAATGCAGACTGCAAACGTTATCCTCCAACACCACCACGTTCTCCATCCAACCCTGCATGTGGATGCTCCAACAAAACAACAACACAATCATGTGGCTGTATACCTGAAATCACCACTCCATGTAATAGACCACCACCACCACCGCCACCACCGCCACCGCCACCACCACCACCACCACCACCACCACCACCACCACC